GCAATTCACCCTAAAAATTTAAGGTCAATATGAAATATAGTTTCAATCTGTTCACTTACGTTCGAATGAAGTCTGGTGCAGCTGAAAGCAAGCACCCGAAGAAAGAGAACGAAGAATACGTTGTAATGAGCCTCGAAGTCATTGAATAATATCCAAGTGATTGGGCTATCTGCCCGAGATTATTACTGTACACTAGCCCAATTGTGCCTCCACAAAGATAAGCAAGATAGTATAGCCAAAAATCAACCCTACGAAGGAGGATTGGCGCCTTATGATCTTCCCCGAGCACCGTCAGACAATCCTTCTTCATTACAGTCTCACAGGAACACCCTTCACTAGTTCCCGTGTTTTGTCTAGATACTATACGAACTGTACTATCGTCTACATTATTCTCTTGACTCAGGAGCTCTTTATGAAATTCATGATCATCGGCATCAACAAGGATAAAACCCGAGCTTGGAAGTTGGAAGCTCGAGTAAATTGTGCGATGGAACCAATCTCGAGCATAGATAACACAGGGGGTACCAAAAGGGAGAACAAGTAGAAACATGGCACCGGCAAAGAGGAAACGAGCTGTTGCTGCATTTAAAGAATGTAGGAAGAGAAGGTAGAATCCGGTCACAACAGCCCACAAATTTAAAGCGATGAATATAAATTGATCGCGTTTAACAGCATCAGACGAAAGAACATCCACCAGGGGTTGCAAAAGGATCGGGAAAAGGGCTCGTACAGATGTCAAGAGCGGAATTAAAGCGTTGAGAAGAAGATACAATGTGGTTGATGAAGGGTTAAGTGATTTTGCAGCAAGGTTGTAAAAGGCAGCGCTCAAGCCATTGAAACTGACTGTGAGAGAAAGAGCAAGTGGTTGATTACTTGGGAAATTCTTTATGCAGAGAATAAAACAAACTGTATTGAACCAGCAGATGCTGCAACCAGCCAACAAACAAAGTAAAAATACCTGCAATATTGCATTTTAAACATAAGTTCAAGTTACATATTTTATCTTTATGAATTGCAACAAGTTTATTTGGAATAATATTACACGTTATATTGAAGAAATTTATCAAAAAGAAAAGTAGAGAGGGCAGATGCAACTAGGGTGTCAATTTAGCTCATCGGCTCGAATCGCCTGTGACTCGTCTAGGAAAAAGCCTGACCAGCCTGAGGTCAAGCCCGAGTCGGCCCCTGTTAAGGGCCATTTTCGGCCCATAATGAGCCGAAAATGTGGGTCGAGCCTAGATTTTTAAGCTGAGCAATGCTCGACTCGACTCTAGC